GTGAAACGGTGGAAGATAAAAAAAAAAAAAAAAAAGGAAAAGGAAAAAGAAAAGAAAAAAAAAACCTGGCAGAAGTGACCTGGAAGAGGGCGATGAGGAGATAGCTATCTGTGGAGGAGATAACATCCAAGACCGCGGGGAGCCCTCCCCTAACGAGCAATTAATGCTAATCAGTTCATTTATCCTGGTCCTGTCCCTGTTGTCCTAGGAGAGAGAGAGAGAGAGAGAGAGAGAGGGAGAGAGAGAGAGGAGCTGTCCTGGGGAGGACTAGCTCTATCGGGGGGAGACTGCTAGTCAGAGGTGGCCTTTAAAAAGATTGACCTTATCTGAGGAAAATTTTGATTTTTTTTTGTTTTTATTTGAGCTTTTGTTTCTTTAATTTAAAAAATCTGGTGCGCACAATACACAATACACAATAAACAACACAAAATATATGGTTAGCTGCAAAAATGGCGATACTACTAGCGATATCGATATAGATGGTAATATGTTTGAACAGGTAGATAAATTTAGATATCTAGGTTCTACGATAACTAGAAAAAACGAAATCGAAGAAGAGATTAAGGTTAGACTGAAGGCGGGAAATGCTTGTTATTTTTCTGTGACAAAACTACTTAGTTCGCGCCTCTTGTCCCGGAACTTGAAAATTAGAATCTATAAAACAATTATCTTGCCTATAGTTCTTTATGGATGCGAAACTTGGCCGCTTACACTAAGGGATGAACAGCGTCTTAAGATTTTTGAAAATAAAGTATTGCGTAGAATATTCGGACCGAAGAAGGATGAGTTAACCGGAGAGTTCAGACGGTTACGCAACGCCGAATTGCGTGAGCTGTATCCGGGTAATATAATTGAGATGATTTCATCGCGGCGAATCAAATGGGCGTGTAAAGTTGTTGGGCTTAGTAACGAGAGAATTCCTAAAAGGTTAATATTTGCTGTGCCGAATGGTAAGCTTCCGAGGGGTAGACCGAAGCGAAGGTGGGAAGATTGCATTAAAGCCGATCTGAAGGGATTGGGTTTTGACGGCGAACGGTGGAGGGAGGTGTGTAATAAGCGATTGGTGGTGTCGGCATCGAACCTTCGGGTTCGCTAAGCCTTTTATTATTATTACAATACACAACTTTCACTTACCCCTCTACTTTGAATAGAAATTATTTTTGAAGTGCATTTTAAACGAAGCTAAATCTTAAAGCTTAAAGATAACAAATCATTAATATTACAAGAAGTCTATTTATAATATCGATTATAAGCAATAAAAATCTAGTTTTATAAACTACACAACTTCAGTCTCTGAGCCTTTCGGTTGACAGAATGACTAACTCCAATTTTAACATTTTTGAGTAATGTCGTTTTATTGATATTTCTTATTGAAAAAGTTATTTCTATACAGACAAAAGTTGAATCTAGAGTATGTGATTGCAGTGTTGAATTATAGAACTTTGAATAAAAGTATAAAATTTGCCACTAGGAAGATCACTAAAATTAATAATAAAGAATGTTGAAATTGGAGTTTGTTATTCTGTCAACTGAAGAGATCATATATGCCTAGAGAGATTTGAAATTACATCTGAATATTTAACCTATAAATGATTATGGATTGTAGGAGTATTAGTTATTAAACTGTTATTTTCCATTGGAAAGTTTATTAAAATGAAATTACGAGATTACATTGCCTCCCATGAATAGATCAAAAGTTGTCACACTAATTGTAAGTGATGTATTATATTTAGCTCATATTACCTGTGGAGGCGTGTTCTAATCTTTCCGGTGATCTCGTATTTTTCCTTTAATAATCCATTTAGTTAATTATCCAATTCTTTTATATTTTGGATTTAGCTACCGTTTATATTAGAAATTAATGTGAAGTGATCAATCTTTTCAAATAAAAAAAAGAAATTAAAGATACTTTAGGGGAAGCTAATATTGAAAATTAGTCGTTTAAGTTCTGTTAGAGAACAGCAATCAGAATAAAAACTAGATTTTATTTTAAATTGCTTAATTTTACACTGACATAATGAATTTAATCAAAATCGTTGGGAGGCGTTTTCGAGAAAATCGTAAAAATGTTTTTCATTCCATGATATAAGTTGCCTCTTCCAGGTAGCCGATTTTGGCGAAAAAGTTGCTGTAACATCCCTAGCTAGAGGGTGCTAGATAGGGATTGTGCCAGAGGATTTGGGTGACACGAAAGGAATTGGTGAAATTTGGTGAATTTCTCAGGGATGTCTAGGACAGATGGTATTTTGAGGTCATGATGTAGGGTTTTGTCACACATAGAACGGAACATCGACTATTGTTGTAAGGACTTTTGACCGGAAGGATTGGACACGTTTGATATTAGAAAATTTTACTGTTTCCCTCAGTTCTAGTCCGTAAGTCCAAGTAGGTTTCAGTATTATCTTTTAGATCAGTAACTAGTTTTCAATTGACAGTTTAGATTTTCTGTTAAGTAGTCTGTATAGTTGGTCGTGTCGTCGGTTAAGTTCCTGTCTTTTAGGTCTAGTATGAGGGTTCCACGTTAGTCGTCTGTCTAAGAGAAAGGCAAGATACCGGAGGGTATCTGAGAAAGGAAGCTGGACGGTGTTAAAATAAACTGGTGGGCAGGATTTACGACAAAGGGTGAAGGTAATGTGTTTACATTTGGATTCGTTTATCTTAATGCGCCATTTCCTACACCGGTGTTCAATCAGGGAGAGGTGCATTTGTAGGTTTAATGACGCTGTTTTAGGATCTTAGTTTGTTGAAAGGATAGTGGTATCATCAGCGAATGTTGCCAGGATGGTATCGCGATGGACAGGAATATCTGCAAAACGCTACCCTCGATTAAATAACAGTCGGAGAATTCATTACCACAGCGAACTTGAAAGGAGCAGTCAGAGAGATAGGATCGGAGTATTAGATATAAGGACTGTGGTAGATGGAATTTAAGCTTGAAGAGCAGTCCAGCGTGCCATACCCGGTCAAAAGCCTGTGCTATGTCCAGAAGTGTACCAGAATAATATTGCTTATTTTCTAGGGCTGAGGATGAATGGTAAACAACGCAGGGTCCTTGTTGGACAGTGAAATGTCGGGAACGAAATCCGAATTGATAGGTAGGAAGGTTTTAGGATTCTATTGTGGATAGGATTCTTTTCAGTAGGATCTTTTCAAACAATTTTGATAGGATTGGCTACTCGCTAATTGCGATGTTAACAATAATGTAGAAATGTTAAGCTTCTGAAAATAATTAGGCCCTTCGCTTGTTAATTGAAAATAATATTCTTTTAAATATTTATTAAATCTACAATGGCTACTAGGTTTAATCAGTTTATAATTAAGAAGATAAAAACACTTTTAAATTAAAACATTTAGTCCATTTTATAAAAATTGTGATTCTTCGAAAAGTTTTTCACCCCACTGTATGTATAATAAGTCGACAGAATGAGTGTGACAACTTTTAACCTATCCTTGGTAGGCAATGTAATCTCGTAATTTCACAGTTTAATAACACTGTTTTATTAAAAAGTTTAATATTCTTAATAGGTTAAATATTTAGATGTAATTTCAAATCTCTCTAGGCATATATGAGATCTTCAGTTGACAGAATGACTAACTCAAATTTCAACATTTTTAATAAATAATTTAATAAATTAAAATCTAGTTTTTATTCTGATTGCTGTTCTCTAACAGAACTTAAACGGCTAATTTTCAATATTAGCTTCCTCTAAAGTATCTTTAATTTTTTTTTTTTTTTGAAAAGATTGATCACTTCACATTAATTTCTAATATAAACGGTAGCTAAATCCAAAATATAAAAGAATTGGATAATTAACTAAATGGATTATTAAAGGAAAAATACGAGATCACCGGAAAGATTAGAACACGCCTCCACAGGTAATATGAGCTAAATATAATACGTCACTTACAATTAGTGTGACAACTTTTGATCTATACATGGCAGGCAATGTAATCTCGTAATTTCATTTTAATAAACTTTCCAATGGCAAATAACAGTTTAATAACTAATACTCCTACAATCCATAATCATTTATAGGTTAAATATTCAGATGTAATTTCAAATCTCTCTAGGCATATATGAGCTTTTCGGTTGACAGAATGACTAACTCAAATTTCAACATTTTTATTATTAATTTTAGTGATATTTCTAGTGGGGAAATTTATAACTTTATTCACAATTCTATATTTCTGCACTGCAATCATCTACTGTAGAATTAACTTTCTCACTTTACTCAAAAATGTTGAAATTGGTCATTTTGTCAACTGAGAGCCTCATATAATGAAAAAAGTAGATATTGCTATACATCGTAACGAATTTTCAAATATATCGAAACAGCGAGTCCATATATCTTTCAAAAAGTCGATATTTATTACTATCGTAACTATTAGAGAAATAAGAGATCGTAGCGAATAACAGTTGTAGCAGAGGGACCAAAGGAATACGAGCTCGTCTAAGAGATTAGAACAGGCTTCTGTACGTAACATGAGATTAATATATGAGCGGACTTCGACAATATTATCTACATTAATATATGCGAGTTTCAAAATTGTCGTATTATTTGATATTTATTTGTATAGATTATAGCGATATAAAAATGAAAATATGTATACCGGTACTTCAATGACTAAAAATACCGCAAAGAAATATAGTGGAACTCTTGTCTGACTGAAACTGTGTCGTGGAAATAGCTAGTGTCAAACAACAAAATATAAATATTATACGTTAGAAGACCATTCAAATATATGAGCCTTTCAGTTGACAGAATGACTAATTTTTGTGTTGTTTCTAATGGGATGATTTATACTTTCTTCACAATTGGATTTAGTCATTCTGTCAACTAAAAGGCTTATATATCACTAATCTACGAAACAAGAGGGATAGATTCCAGTGGAACAAGCTTATCTCTTATTGAGACAATTTTTGGTTCAACAGCCTTGCTAAAGTATAAAGCCTCGCCAGCTTTCCTCTTTTCTTGAAATATTACATTGTGTTTACAATTCGTTTACAAAATAAGAGGATTTACATGAAATATGAGAGTTCTTGCTGGGTTTAAGTGTAAATTCAGGATTTCTCATCATTGGGTTCAAATGAAAACATGTTATTTAAATATTCAATTTTTCAATATATATTTCATCATAGTTTTCATTTTTTATATACATAATGTACATACATATTTTTATGAATAAATATTATCCTATTAACATATTTACATTTATAACGTTTTTTTTGTTAATGTATAACATATGTAGGTAACATTTATATATAAACATAAATTTCAGTAATTGTTTTTAATGAACACTTAATGATGAAGTTTTTTTTTTTTTTTTATAAATTGTTTGATATTTTAAAATTTATATTTCTATAAACTGAGAATACAAAAAAGTAGATTTTAATTTTAAAGATTTGATAAGTCAACAATTGATTGCATACATTTATTTATACAAGTTATTAAAAATATCAGGTACATAATTTGTTTTTAAATAAATTAAATTGTTAACAGTTAAATACAGACCAATTGTAGCTTGTCAAATCACGTTATTATTCTATGCTATGAAATTTGGAAGAAAAATTAAAAGATGCATAGACGTGTGCATTATCGCTAGCGTTTTAAGTTTACTATCTAATTTAATGCAAAAAGTCCATTAAGTAGCATTTCATAAGAATAATTCACTTATTACTGCGGTGAATTTTCTGTCTGCGAAATCAGAACATTGTAAAACTTTAAATTTAAATCTTATAACTACTGAGACTAGATTGTGCTCCCTTAACTTCATCTTATGTACATTTATACAATATGTATACAATATATTACATTCTAAAATATTTACAATATTATTGGGTGTTATCTGCAACCACAGCCCACCACCATCATGTCCTGATAGTTCTTGAGAACTACCTTCCCCTCGTCGAGGTAGAGCATGGAGATAGAGGACAGTTGGGTGGGCACGCAACAGGCCTTTGGCACGGCGTTGGGGTTGACCGAATGAACCAAGGTTTGGACTATGGCGTGGTTGGTGGAGTTGAGATGGTCCGCCAGAGGGAAGGGGCAGTCCCCGTGGCAGTAATAGGCGTCGTAGCCAGGGGGGGCCACGATCCAGTCGTCCCATCCGACCGCCTTGAAGTTCACGTAAAGCGGATGTCGCCTGCAGAGAGATCTTCCATCCTTCCTTCTGTTTGTCTTTCCTGGGGCTCTCTTCTTCCTGGACAACAGCTCTGGCAGTCCTCGCGGCCCGGATCTCCCATCGTCGGAGTAGAGGAACATCCTGTGGAGGTCCCTCTTTACCCTCTGCGGAGCGCCTTCTCCTTCCACAAGGAGGCCGTGGTTGGTGCCGCTTTTCCATCGCTCCACAGCCGGAGTGACGTCCAACAGCACGCTGCCGTCCTTGCCCACCTTCTTGGAGTCCAATACCCTGAGGATGGGACCGTCACCACCTTTCTTCCCGGGCTGCACGATATCGTGGACCTGGACTCGCTGACCTGGCTGTAGGCTGGACAATCGCAATTCTGCAGCTGTCACCGTATCTTTGTCCAAGACTTCCGTTATGTTGAAATTTAGACGGAATTTTCGCCTTGGTTTTTTATCATTTTCACCTGCAATAAAAGAGAAAAAAATATTTAATTAAGATTTCTACTAATTATGCATGTGTAATGCATTGTATATATCAAATTCTATATTCTATCAGATACACTAGTCCCAATGCTATGATAATAATGTAAGTTCCACAAAAATTAAAGCTTAGATGCGGAAACGTTACCCTCACATATTATTTACACGCAGAAATGATAATAAGCTCCAACCAAATATAAGGCTTTCCTGTTTCTTTTTGTAACGCAGCAGTTCATGGGAAGCCAAAAGGTGGGTGAAAACAGCGAAGGAAAAGAAAAAGTTATTATCTTGAGAAATGTTCTTTGTGAGACGATGTGCCACTTCCAGGCTCAAATATGTTATAATTACAGCATATAAACGACATAGTTAAATGGTTTGGCTATATATTAAGAATGCCAGAGGAGCGATAGACAGTATTAATCTTTCAATATCAACCAGTAGGATGTCGAAAAAGGTGGGACGACTTTAGAAGAAATGTTTACAGGATGTAAAGGAAGATATAACTTCCAGAGGTCATCGAGATGGACCATTGGAAGAATTTTGGGACAGGAGGCACCCCTTGACCAAGAAACTATTCCTTATCTTTTTCTTTCTCACCTTTTCTGTATACGGAGTTTTTCCCGTGTCAGGGAAGAGAGAGCGGAGGATTAATGCGAACTCGGTAATCTTCGGTATATCAGATCGTTCAGTCACTCTACCCTCTGTTAGTGATGAAACAGTAATATTGAACCTAACACCTTTCATGGGTTGTAAGGTTATCACTGAACATGATTTTCCTTTCCTCATGAAAAAATGAACTACACGTACTTGAAATAGTTCACGTGCGGATGGATGATAATAGGAACCGTAATAGTTCACTCATATGAAGTTAGTTCCTAAAAAAACTACCGTTCAAGAACTGCAGAGTTTTATTTGGCAGATATCGAGGTAGATAAATGCACCATGTGTAAACAAATGAATAATGAAAAATATCAAATTTTGAAGTGAATTAATATTTGTTTTTGAATGGCTCATTATTGTGAAAATCATAAACTAATATGTTTGTGGTCATTGGCCCAAGATCGAAACACTACGACCAGGTGTCCGCGACGGAGGAATCCGATCGACAATAAAAGGACGAGTAAAGGAGAGTGTCCTGGGAATTACAAGAGCGACAAAGTGGTCACATTAGGGGAGAGTTATAGCGGCGGGTCTTATCGCGCGTCCGTCGTCCTCCTTGCGACATATCTGCTTCGTCATGTAGCGACATTGTTCCGCGAACACTAGCGGCGCGGAGATATATAGGATAATTAGGACGATCTGTATCATCTACAGCGGCGTATCCTTGAGAAGGTTCTCGGAAGAGGTAGTAGATCAGTCTTGGATCGATTATCGGGATCGCATTGTCGCGAGGATTTACTCGATAAAGCTGCTGTTCAAAAATTCTAAAAATTATTCCTTTGTTCTTATCAGGCTTCAACTTACAAAATTTTAACTACATTTTTCAGATTTTCACGTTAAAAAAATAAGATAAAAACAAACAAATAAATAGAATTGCAAAAATAACAGTTCAGTTTGGCTACTCCAAAATGGCCGAGAATATTACACACAAGATCGACAAGGCAAATTATGTACATATACTAACTTATTGTTTAACAGACGATATCTACGGTCTCCGGCCATAACAAGGTAAGTTGAAAAATGATCCTCGTTCTATAATGACGAGAAGAAGTTAGTAACTAGTGAATTTACTAACTTTTTTATGGAGTTTAGAAGATGATTTCAATTTTTGGAACTCTTGGGAACCATTTTTTGACTTAAATATTTGTGGCTAGAGATCATAGATATTTTCCTCATTACGTTTTTATTATTTTTCATATTTACATATCAGAAAAGGGGAGGAGAAAATAAAATAAATAAAACCTAACCTAACGTTAAGAAAGATAGCTATGTCTGATATATACACGATTGTTCATAATCGGCTAATTTCGGCATTCATCGCGAATCTGGGGCAACGATCATTGCTAAAACAACGTAAATAGTTTCAGCTCATCGTAATCTACAAATATTTTATTTACGAGAACACATGGAATTAGGGCGTTTTCAATCTGGGGGGGGGGGTACAAACTTTGTCTATTTAATTAGGTACTAAAAAAAAACTCATAAATACCCATTTCCTTTCTACTTGGATCGTAAGGTAATTTGATCACAAAATCGAGAAAAAAAGTGGCCTTCAAAAATATCGAACCTATACTCCCAAATTGTCAAAATAACAAGGTTATACAGGGCAAACGGCCCAATATTTTTAAATGCCACATTTTTTCTCGATTTTGTAATCAAATTATCTTACGATCTAAATGGAATAGGTATTTACGAGTGTTATTTAGTACCTAAAGAAATAGACAAAGTTTGAAAACGTCGCAATTCCAAGAATCTTCGTAAATAATTTAGTTGTAGGTTACGGCGAGATGAACCTATTCAGGAAGGGTCTATACCATGGACTATTTTGTTGTTATTTTAATAAATGTTACCAATACATACTATAGAGATGTTACTGTCATTTTTTAGAATGGGGAAACCTAACTACACTTCGAATGAGAAATACAAATGGAAGTTAAATGCAAAAGTATATTGGTTCTACCAATTCTTTACACATACTTAGTACTTTATCTTATTTTTTTGTCCAGTCTTTGTCTTGGTCTTGCAATAATTAGGCAGTATTGGGTAGGGCATATGGCCTATGCCGATGATGTAATATCGGCAAGATCATTACCTGCCAGGGGCGCTAGAAGAGTTTTAAACAGCTGCTAATGAATTGGACATGTAGGACCTTAAAGTACCTCGATGGAAACGTCACGAGAGAAAACGAAACGACAGAGGACATAAAGGAATGAGTTGCTGCTGGGAATAAGTGTCTATTGCATCTTCTGGGAATAGGTATATGCAATACGCTCTGTCCTAATTTATAAAAATCTCTCAAGAAAAACTAAGGTATTGCTTTATAAGACTATAATTAGGTTCACTGTAACCTACAGCAGTGAAACCTGGGTTATGGCAGCAGCTAACGAGAAAAGGATAAGGACCTGAGAGAGAAGAGTTCTAAGAAGGATATTTGGTCGTGTGTAGTGTTTTCCAAAATTGATCTTGGTCTTGTACTTTGCAAGATCAAGACCACGGCCACCTAACTATTGCAAGACCAAGACCAGGACTGGTAAAAAAAATCGATTTTTTAAATAAAAATTAAGGCAAAATAGTTACTAATACTTGATGATCTTAGTTACAGTAATATCTCTATAGTAATAAGCTGATAAGAAACTGCAAGACTGTTGCAAGATTCTTGCGCAAGACCAAGACCATGACCAAGACTCGTCTCGGTCTCGCATTTGGGCAACACTAGTCCTGTGCGAGAGGGCGATGGATTTAGAGCGAGAAAGAACTCCAAGCTGAAAGAACTGTTTCCAGAAGAGGTCATAGTTAATGTTATAAAGAAAATATTGAGCTGGCTTGGACATGTCGAAAGGATGCCTACGACGAGATTGCCTAAGCAAATGCTGTATCGTCATCCTAGTGGCTCACGAAGGAGAGTTGTGCCCCGTAAATGATGGCTGGACGACGTTGGAGAGGAAAATCAGTCGATGGCGAACTAAAGCATAGGATAAAGTTGAATGAAGCAGGATATTGGAGGAGGTTTGGTGCTTAATGGACCGGAACGCCATGTAGTGAGTAAGTAAATTGGGTTGGGCCACATTGCCTATATTAATATTGAAAATTTCTCTTAACGTGACTATTATGCGTACTTTTATTATTATTAAACAGTAAATTATGCGATAGCTCACCTGTGTGACTGAACGACGTGACAGTGTTGGCGGACCTGGTGTGGCGACCTTCGAGGGGCAGATCCATCGTGTCCCAGCTGTCCGGGTCCTGCTGGCGGCGGTAGATGTCGAGGAGTTCCTGGGGCACCTGCAGGTCGGGGGCGGGGGGGTGGGGGCGTCTGTGGAGGCCGAGCAGCTTGAGGAGCCCCTCCTCGGGGCTGGCCCCGCCCCCTCGCACCGCCCACGTCATCATCATCATCCTCAGCATCATGGTCATCATCATTTTCTCTCTGAAAGCCGTGATGATGCAATCTTATTAGAATATTCTTAACTTATTAAAAAAAGTGAAAGTGTCTCCTTGGAAACAGCATGCATACAATTTTTTTTTCTTTAGTTCTATATTTAGATATATGATGTAAGTATATCGTCGATATAAATGCTAACTAGCGAATATGAAAATCCTATTTCAAATATCGCTGGTCGCGTAAAATTGACTATTGTTAGACATAGGGTAGAGGACTTGGAAAAACAAAATAACCTTCAAAAATGTCTTCATTCAAGTTTTTCTGTTTACGCAGGACTATGTTCAGTGGGTACTGTTAGACCCTGTCTTAATGATAGTTTTGATATTGTGAATACAGAGTCAATTTTTCGATGTAGGACAGAATAGCTCGATTTAAGCGTAAAACCAAGGAACTCTCAAGAAAAATAACATATCATTCACTTTTTGGGGACTTGCCACATGTTCAGTGAATTAAGAGAGAAATGTTTTGGGCAGCGGACCTGTTCTCCAGAAGAATTATTTGGTTTATTAAAGGGTTCTAACTGGAAAGCCTTAAGCAATTACGTATACATTGCTAAGATCTCAATCGGTCAGATAGTAAACTATTGATACAATATCGTATGTATTTATTGTAACGTTTCTTATATTGTATTTGATGGTTATTATTATTGTTGTTGAAATTAAATTTCTTATTTATTGGATTTGTGATTTGTTAATGTTTGTTTTTGAAAATTCTATTTATACAAATTAAACAGTGAAGAAGAAAATTGCTAGAATGGATATATAGAAATATACTAATACGGTAGATATATACTCATTTATTTTAGTTATAAATGTAATGAATATTTATTATTAATTACACACAGACCTCCTCAGACGGAATTTTCCATTGTTTATGTGTTGTTGCTTGTATATATATATTTTACTTTGTATAATTTTTTAAAAAGTAGAATAAACACGTTTTCATTCATTAATTCATGAAAATCCTATTTATTATTTCTAAAACTTGTTTTTTTTTTGTTGGTACACTATAACTTCGTCAATTCTTCATCAAATCCAATGATGGACCACTCATTTTGAAGATATTCTTCTTCACATGCGAAAAATAGTCCTATCCTCCCAAACTTTATGGAACAAAGTTATGAAGGAATAGAAACTTGAATTGCAAATAACTCAAAAAATATACATTTTTTTCCTGGATTGTACAAAAAAAAAAATCACGAAAATCGATTAGAAATTTGTAAAATTTAAACAACTTGTACCGACCGAGGTAGTAAAGTGTGTTTTATTTCGCAGCTCGAATGACGCTCCAATATGAATTTTCATTAGGAACAAAAAATAAAAATTTGTTTCTACAAATTTGAACTAAGGCACCCTAATGCGAAAAACAGTCCTATTCCTCCGAAATTTCTGAGAAAAAAAGGATTTTTTTTTTCTGGATTGTACCCATTATAATTAGAAAGATTACTAAATTACCTACAAAAAAAAATTGTAAATTCGGACAATTATTAACAAAGATACAGTCCATTAGTTAGTTGGTATACTTAATAATTTCTTCCCCCGAGCCAACTAGTATGAAATTTAATTATAATAAAATAGTTTTAAAAATCGAGTACAAAATCTTTAAATATTCATTCAGGCAAATATTAGTTTGGAAATATCCTCAATCCTCATTTTCAAATTCAATAGGAATTTGTATCGATTATATGATGTCATAGACATCAATCTCCCTACTGTTTCAGAAAGTGCCACATCTAACACCCCGAAGAAGACCCACAACCTAGGTCGAAACGTTAAATGTTCATTATTTCATCGTCTTTGTAATGAGCTATGATTCAAAATTGTATCTTAGTGTGACGGCGTGTTAGATAGGCGAAAAAGAAAAAATGGTGCAGAAAACCGAACGATAACGAGTATTGAAGATATGATTAAAATATCTCAGAAACTAAAAATCGGACCTCCATACTGTAAGGAAATGTTCAGCATTTAATTCCCTTTGTAATGAGCTATTATTTATAATTTATATTTCATATTATTAATCTTGTCTTGTTGATGTTTTAACTTATATCGTGTGGTGTAAAGCACTACACACACCTTAGTTTTATAGTTTTTTTTAATGGACATATTTAACGTTGTATAAATATGTCTTACATGTGATTTAGGAATATTCCTTATAGGCTATGGTGATAAATCTCTTATTTTTAAAAATCAATATACGCAAAAGAGATTGACACGTTAATGGTGCCTTGTTGTTTACCAAGATGTCATAATCTGTTGGCAAGATCGAGCGAGGTTTACATAACCAGGTTCGAGTCGGGTGGGGGAAGAGGCCACGCTGTCTGCCATAGTCTGTTCCCATGCTATCGATATGCAGTAATAGTAGTAATAATATCGATATTTAATAACTATATATTTAATATTATTTAGTGGTCAATAACTTTATCAATTATCAAAGTTTAAACGAATGATTTTATTTTGTTTAGTTTAATTATTTAATTAACAGCTTAAATTATTAGAATATTTAAAATTATTTTTTGTTCATTTATTAAAAATGAAACGTGAGTAAAACTTTTCAGATAAAATTAATAACTCAGAAATTCCTTTTTTTTTTTTTTTTTTTGTTTATTTAATGAAATTTATAACTAGTAAATATGCACAAATTAGAAATAATGACATGAACAGGCTTGAAGAGATACTATCCTGTGGTATCACTTCCTAAATAATTTTATGTAAGAAGATCACGAGACCATCTCCTTTTCAGACGCCTAGGAGGATTATCAGGAATCGAGGAAGAAGCAAGAGTGGAAACAAGGAGATTTGGATGGAACTGAATAGATATCTGGCTCGGGCTAAATCAGCGATTTTTTTTTGCCTTTAAACTTTTAAATGAAGTAAAAACTCATGAAAAAAAATATAAATAAAACTAAACATAAAAAATATTGTTAGAAAAAACAATGCCTATTTTAAATGACTAATCAAAATTCTACCCTAATTTTAATAGAAAAAAAAAAAGGTTTTTGAAAATCTGACCTTTCAGAGTGTTAAAAATTCTTAAATTGTTTCTGAAACGAAAAAAGGAATGAAAATAGAACAATAAAATTGACTTAATATGTCAACTCAGTAATATTCACAGTTTGCAATTAAAATATTATGAAAAATATTTTTTTTAAATTCAATAAACGTTTTAATTTTATCATCTTTAGTCTTCATCCTCTATACATTTTTACATATATTATTATCCTCTATACATGTATTATTATCCTGTATACATCTCCACATATATTATTACGGTAAAGTCCCGGAATCGATTTTGTATCAAATATAAGCTCCTGTCATGCTCAAATACCTTAAATGGAGTACCGTGTTGGATTCAGAATTTCAGATAGGTGTTTTGCGATTCTTAATCCCCGTTTTCGTTTTCCTTTCTAAAATCAATAAAGTTTATATAAAAATTTCACTAGTCTTCAATTCTGGAGCAGTTATAAGACCGTGAATCTATATGGGACAAATTGGGATTTGAAGAAACATGTCTCATTTCGACGACTTGAGGTCCCGAGAGGAGAGAAGAGGAGTTTATATCATCTATCAAAAAAATTTTTTTTGTCGGTACGCCATAACTTCGTTAATTCTTCATCAAAATATTTAACTATCAATTTGAAGTTTACTTCCCCTTCAGGTGGTAGATTTAATGAAATAAGTTAATGACGGAAGATAAACATTATTTGCGAATAACTAATTTGGTAAAAATATTGGTTTGAAACATGGTTCTTCAACAAACATCTCCAATCCGCTCCGCGAAAGTTTCTTTGATAGATGATTAAATTTAAAAAAATTATTTTGAAAAATATGAAATTTAGTAAATCATTGGAACACGAGGTTTTTATGACATTTATTGGATAACTTGTTTCTCTCAGAAAGCTCATTTCACAACTAAAGTGTCATTTATAGAAAAAACTTGTTTTTTATTATAACAAACCAGAGACCGCGAGACTTAAATGAGGTCTCAATTAGGGATGGCCTAGAGTCGATATTATCGAAAGATCGATATTTTCCTTCCGATGTTCGTTAGTTTACTATCGATAATATCTCCTTCAATATCTTGATTTAAAAATAAACAATTTTATCATAAATTATTTTCGGAATGCGCTAGGAATTGTGTACGAGTCTCTTCGTTAAAAAAATAATATATACTTATCTTTCCTGTTTCATATAGAATGTAATGCGTACGAGAGGAAAATATAGATATTTGCATAATATCGACTCTCGATGGTCAACCCTTCTCAAACCAAATCCAAGAATTGTCAAATAAACCTATGTTTAGTGTTGCCCAAAATCTTGACCAAGACCAAGACCGCCTAACTGTTGCAAGACCAAGACCAGGACTGGTAAAAAAAAAAATCGATTTTTTATATAATAATTAAGGCAAAATGGTTCCTAATACTTGACAATCCTAGTTACTATATGTTAATAATTGTTATAACCAATATACTTTTGCATTTAACTCATCTAATTTTTTATTCGGGCTTACTTAGTTTTCTCCTATCAAAAAAATGACAGTAATATCTCTATAGTAATAAGGAACTACAAGACTCTTGCGAGACTCTTGCGCAAGACCAAGACCGTGATCAAGACTGAGTTTGCAAGACCAAGACTCGTCTCGATCTCGCATTTGGGCAACACATGATGATATCAATAATTATAGGCCGATATTAATATCGATTTCCCATCCCCAGTCTATATTAGGGAAATTATAAGTTGCATTATTTTATTTATTTTTCTAGTATTTGATCACAGTGAATTATTCACACGGGGCAACTAATATAATATTATCAGGATACTCCTGAGACACGGAAAATAAATATATGGTAGCCTATTATTTTAGTGTTAATATATTGTAGATTGAAGGTGGATATATATATATAGATATATATAATAATTTACCTTTGAAACGAAAGGCACCATTACCGCCGAGACTGTAAGGTGTAAGGCAGCGCCACGCAGTCTGCTCTCAGCGGCTTAACTCCTTAGCGGGTCCGGATGACCAGAATGCTAACCCCACCACCTCCCCTATCATCCCCTCTACTTCGGCAGTTCCGTGTCTTCGGATGGATAACTATCTGCGCCATTGGAGAGAGGTCGCGCAAGGTGTGGTGTCTTGCGTCAGGCGCACCATCAGCGAATGGGCTATGGATGGGTTCATTTATCGGGTGTCCCGCGAGAAGAGAGTGATAGGAGTCTTCAAGAGCAGCAAGAGAGTCCATATAAACAATAGGCCAACAGGAAATTCAAATTTTGTATTTTTTTTTAAGTAAGTCATGTATTTGTTGAATAGTAAGCGATAACGAAAGAAACATTTAATTTGAGTAATTAACAATTGCTTCTCAGTAAACTAAACAAAATTTACTTCAAAAGAAAATAGATTTTGTAATTGTTAAAACTATTTAATGACGAATTTTGAGCGGCTAAACTAAGCTAAGTTTTGTTTGTTTTAACATAAATTATTCGTCAGTGATAAATATTCAGGAAAAAAAGTTTTGGTGCCTAACTCGCCAAATATGTATTCTATGGTAAAATTTATAATATAAGTTTTGAATTATCAACAAAATAAAAAAAAAAAAAACTATCATTGGAATCGAAACAGTATTAGCGATGATACAGCTTATTATATTTTCTACACATGTTTTAATTTATTACTTTCCTACCTATATCTCCTTAATCCTGAGGCTATAAAATTAAATACAGACCAAACAGCTGTGAATCGTAATGTTAACTTGATCATATTCTTGTTTTTGTTTTTTTTATAGATGTCAAGTTTTCAACGCATTGAAGAGGAAAACAATCAACATTTGTTCACCATCATCTGTTAATTAAGTTATTGTAATTTTATGATTTAAATTTCAAAGAACAATTTTAAGTTTTGATCTCTGCAGTTTTGTTTTTAGTACTTTGCATTGAAACCTCTAATCGAACAAATCAAGCATTTTACCTTCCTCCTATGAAGATTTGTTAAAGAAACTTTAGTTTAATTTAGTTCTTTAACCTTCTTAATTAATATTTTTCATTTATTTCTTTACTAGAAGAATAAATTTCAAAAATAATTATAACTTTGAATAAATATTTAAAAAAATTGTTATTACTCATTGCAGTCATTATTTTACCTTTTTTTGTTTTAAGTTCTTTTTTAAAAATCAATTTCCAAAAGGGCTAGAAGTTAGAAAGTATAAATATTTTTTTATGGGAAACGTAAATAGATCGTTACAGGAACAATAAAAATTCTGTTTTACTTTGAAACTAAAACATTGTTTCTTTTTTATTTTTATTTTAAAGAAAAAATCTTTCATTCATACATTGAAATCTTCAAATATAATGTTTCTTTATATTAAATACTCTGCCTATTATTTATTATGTACTTGCATTATAATTGTTGAGTTTTGCAAAAAATTAACATTTTGGAATAACTTAAAGTTTTATTTACCTTCGTAAACTATTCCTGTTTAGAATAATGTTATTCTACATTACATTATAATGTAATTTGTAAATCTATTTAATTTTTTAATATACAAATGAGATGAAGGGTTTTCTGGATTATTTTGACAAATAAATTTAACTTTTCATACTATAAAATTTATTTATTGCCAGGTAAAGTTTTGATTTATTTGATAAATGACAAAAATTGGTAAGGGAAGTATTGCGATCGGGTCAAATTTCCGATATGCCGTTTTCGACGGATCTATACGTTTCAGAGCCCCCCCTTAGCCTGAACCTGAACATGAATTTTTCTGGTAATGAAATTCCCTACAAAACTTTATAAAAATCGTTCCTTTCGAGCAATCATTAACGAAGTTACATCTATTCGATTTCGTATGTAAGAGTATAGGTTGATATCATGGTGTCAGAAAGGAGTGAATGAGAGAAAAAAGATAATTATGCGAAAGTAAAAAAATCAGTTGTCCGCATCACACAAGGTTCACTATTTCCTCTACTTTTAACAGAAATTATTTCTGAAAAAGAATTACTGTGTAAAAAATTATATGTTATAATATCATATCATAGAAAAACATTAAAAAAAGCTTTTCAACAATTTATTAGAGTAGTTTAATCTTATCATATATTCATATAGTAGTTTTAGGATATATTTGAGTTCTACCAATGGGTAGTTTCTCTTCATGTTGAACATGTCATGTTACCAATTTCACATTTACTTATTGTATTTTCTATGTAATACAGTTGTAAATTCCATTAAAATAATAATAAAAAAAAAGGATATATAATCACTGTTTTATTTTTTTTTTTACATAACTTGGGGAGAATCTCAAATGTTTTTCTAAATAATCTGGACTTAATTAATATTGACTTAAATTTTCTTACACGAGCAATTTTTTTTAAAAGTTTAAATTAAAAAAAATCAAATAATGTCACCTATCACCGATTTTTTTTTTTTTTATCAGAACTTGGTTTAAAAGTAGTCTTCAAATTGTCATAACAATGACAAAATCTATTTTCTTTTGAAGTAAATTTTGTCTGGTTTACAATGAACCAATTATTAATTATTTAAATTAAATATTTCTTTCGTCATTGCTTCCTATTCAACAAAAAATATGAGACTTTAAAAAAAAACAAAAAAATTAAATTCCTACTCTTCTGCCCAAAATCGGAGCAATATTCAATATAAACTTTTTTGTACTTCTTGAGATCTACAATACAGAATTATTTAATTATTTATTAATTATTATTATTTATTTATTTTAATTATTTGAGTTCTTCTATAAAGAATTATTATCAATTGAGTGATAGCTGTGTACACGGGCGGGTCTACGGGGGGGGGGGGGAACTTTCGGACTGATGCTGGGAAAATATAACCATGTTTTATCGAAAAAATATTAATAAATTATCTCTCAAAGTATTATTGTTCGTGTAATTTCATTTAAAAGGGCTTTAGGAATCACTTAAACACAATTTCATATAGGTAGTTAGTTTCTTCCTTTTTTTCCAATGTAATTATCGTTATTTTTATGAAAAAAAAAACTTTCGGGCTGAAGCCCCCCAAAATAAATCCTTGATCCGCTAGTGGCTGTGTATTAATGATTACTATTAAACTGGAGGGATATTTTCCAATGGGACTAGCAAATTATTTATTAAGTTAATTGTGAAGTTAACAGTCGTGGTAAAGCGCGTCTGTTGAATATATTATAGAAATAATATTTTATTGAATATATATAAATGAAAATATTTTGCTCATATCACAGAAGGATATCTATCAAATATTGTTGGTGGGTTGTATTGTATATACGAATAAATGTTATCTTATTTAAGTTGATTTACGCTAAATGTTTTGTTTAATGTTCTGTGTTCGTTCGTGGTACAGACCCCCCCCTTTTTATCAAATTATTAACATCCACCTGAAACTTCGTAAATAGACATCTCATCCTAACATATAAATATTATATTTTCGAATATTCTAGGAATTTGGGCGTTTTCAATTTATAGATAGGCAAATTTGTCTATTTAATTATATATAAAAAAAAACTCGTAAATACTAATTTGCTTTCCACTTGAATCCGTAAGATAATTTAGGTACAAAACCGAAAAAAAAAAGTGGCCTTCAAAAATATTGAGCCGTTTGGCGTGACCTACACCCCCAAACTGTCAAAATAACGTTTTACAGGACAAACTGCCTAATATTTTTGTATGGCACCTTTTTTAAAAATAAATTTTGTGATCAAATTATCTTAAAAGTGGAAAGCAAGTGTGTATTTACGAGTTTTTAGTATCTAATTAAATAGACAAAGTTTGACAATCTCCAGATTGAATTGAATTGAATTGAAAAATGTAAGAAACAAAAATCTGTTTATACAAAAAAAAAAAAAATGTTTATTTATTGATGAAAAATAGGGCATTCAAAAAATTATAAATCCCAATAAATAAAAAAATACTTACTATTTTTAGTTTATCTTGCCTTTTGACCCCATCGGCATCAAGATTAAATCAGATATATACGATGTAATTTATGTTTGTTGTACGAATACAAAAGAAAATAACAAAAAGAAGAAGGCCAACGATAGGAAGGAACCAAATTATAATGAGGATTTACTCTTGATAAAAATACATAATATTATTATTAATTTATTTATTTATTACATAATAAAAAATGAATGAAAGAGTGGAAAGAAGAATCTCAATCATTTTTTTTTTTAAAACGATTCATTAGTAATTAATTTTATATTTATTAATAATAAGAAAAATTATTGAATATACTGTATATTCTTTAAATCTAAATAACAATTTGACTTCTGATTTAAAAAAAAAATAACTTCCCCTACCTCTTTAAGTATTAACTATATTTTGTAAATTGTATAATATTTTAAATAAACCCCTTCTTTTATAACAGTGTGAATTCCTGAAAATTCTAATCTATCTCTACCATTCATTTTTGTTATTAAATTGAGTTTTTACCGATTGAATAATTTTTATATTTTATTTTAATGTCACCTCATCTATAAAGTACTAGCTGATGTACCCATCGTTAACGAGTGTAAAGTTAAAATTCGAAAACGTTTTTTCTGAGATGCATTTTGTATTATGGAGAGGGGAGAGATATAAGTTTAATTTCATAAAATTGGGTTAGGCGGAGTTGTTTTGAATTTTTTTATGGAGGGGCTTATGAAAGTCAAGATTTCGCAATAGCCATAATAAAAACTTTGTTATTCGGCTCTTTGTTTAGGTGCCACACAACTAAACCGAGTACCACCGGTGGTCCATTAAAATTTTTTAAGTGTTTAATTTTCATTTATGATAAAGTGAGGAGATTATGAAGTCAATTGAAATAATCAAAAAGAATTTTAGTCTCTCCACTTCTTTAAACTATGCTAAGTTTATCTCTGGCAAAATAACATTGGACATTGAGTCATCTACATCGGTATAAAATTTGAACTTGGTCTGAATATTGTGGCGGGCTGGTTGAAATTTTTGGGAGTTTTTTTTCCCGATTTCCTGCTAATCCGTTTAGTTAATCCTAAAAATGTGTATGAAAACATTCGTTATTCTCAGAAAGTTGAATCGAATGACCCCTTCAACGGGAAGATCGGACTAATTTGAAAAATGAGTGTGTTTTAAGCGATAGCGCGTTACGGATGTTCGGTATTTCGGATTTTTCTCTTTGAGTTGTGATAATTTTTTACATCAGTTGAACAGTACAACTTTTAAATGTGACTGCGGTAGAGTAGGTTGGGATGAGAATCGAAGTAAGTATCTGCCTAACCGGGATCTCTGGACAAATTATTTAAGAATTGATAACTTTGGTTCTTCTAAATATTTTGTTTTCATTTTAAGAATTTTTTTTAAGTCAAGAAAACATAAATATAATGTCAAAATTTCAAAGGTCAACCATTAGCCATTGCTGAGCTTATCCCTGACTAAATTTCATTGGACAATGCGTTCATACAGACAGACAACAATTTTTTTAAAAGTGGATTTGGTGTCATGTATAAAACGGAAAGATATCATGAAACGGGTTGATTCTATTTAATGTAAAGACAAAACCTTTATTTTAATTGAATATTTAATAGTTGGCCGTTGCATTATATAGTTGACCGTTACTTAGCTTACTCTGTTCATATTTTAATTTACTTACTGTTTATAATTTCAATAAGCTTATTCACATTGTTTATAATTTTTGTCTAAATATTATGTAACTGTCACAATTCTCTATCTTTTTGTATCTTGTCCGTTCTAGCCCTGAAGAAGACCTGTAAAGTCGTGTCGAATTGCCTATTTACGACCGCCACCCCGGAATATGTCCTTCCTTTATTTTAATCATTTATGTATGCACTGAAAGTCAGGTTATCGAAAGTGTCAAGTGTATAAAGAAAAAA